CTGAATAATTAGCGAGAAAAGACCAGAAAACGGTCAACAAAACAAAAAATTGAAAGTTCTGAGAATAGTGAGTAGCCGCTTATGCAGAAGGGATTCAGGCAACCTGTAATTTCGATTGAAACCAAAATGTCAGATTTGGAAGGGTAGTTCTCGAGAGAAGCAAAAACCTTTCAAAAAAAGCCATAAAAAATCAAAAATTTGAATTTTCCGAATGCCGTAACTTTCGAATTCAGAAAAATTTGGGCGCAATCGCATAAACACTTTAGCTTCCCGTAACCTGTTTTTTGAACTGAATCCAAAATCTCAGATATGGCAGGGTAGTTTTCGAGAATATTCAACAAGTTTAAAAAACGATAGAAAAAAACAACATTTGGCTATTCCGAGGGCCATATATTTGTGTTAAGAGTTTTGGGCGTAGCCGCTTATGCAGGGAGCTTTTCAAAAAAGGTTTTGTTCGTGGAACCAAAAAAACTCATACGAGAAGGGTACTTTTTGAGAAAACAAAAAATGAAAAAACCGGGCCACATACTCCCCATCAGACAACGTAAAAAGAAAAAGTTTCAACAAAGCTATTGGTATACATATAACAAAAATGATAAGTGCGGAGGGGAATTAAAACTGTCTTTCACTCGAAACGACCCAAAATTAGGTCTTTATGCCGATTAAAAGTAGGCTTAAATATTTTGGGCCGAGGAACTTTTTTAGCGAAACAAAAAAGAACAAAGAAGGAAATACGAAGTCAAGGAAAGTAAAAATAAAAACTGTGGGAGTAAATCAAACACTGATAACAATATTACAGAAAACTGCGCGCAGCAAGAAAAAACGGTTCCAAGATGTCACAACTAAGCCGAAAAAAGATACGCAGACAAATAAAAGGCCGACAATTTTATTTGAAACAGAATAATTACCGTTTGAAAAAAAAACAGGTCCTGGTCAGATTCGAACTAAGGACCTTTGACGTCCCAGGCATATTCGTTACCTCCGGGCTAATTTGGCCGGAAAAGCATAGAAGTTTGAATTTATTATGAACCAAGATACAAGAGATTCTGTTAAACAAGTTGTTAACCCGGAAAAATGTCTTTATTCCAGTTTGATAACACTTGCCAATTGCAAGCGTAACAATTTTTAGATTTAATAACTAAGCCGACATAATATAAGCAGGATAATAATATATCTAAATGTTTTTGATCCGGAGTTTTTACTGTTTGAAAAAAAAAGTCCTGGTCAAAGTAGAGCCCAGGACGTTTGCCTTCCCAGGCGAATTCGTTACTTCAAGGCTAAGCGTGCAAGAGACAGTGAGAAATTTGCAGCCATTATGAACCAAGGTACCACCAGGAGCCCTGTGATTAAAGTTTTTCTTGGGGAAAAAAGTCTAGTATCCAGTTGCATTACCCTTGCTTATTGCAAGGATAAAAATTAAGTGTGAAAACGATGGATTACTTTCAGTGTTCTTCAATTTAAGTCAATAAAAATTTTGAAAAATATCTGAACAGAGACAGAAAAAGATGGTTTTGATCCGATTTTAAATCGACTCCTCATATCCATTTTTTCTGTTTTTAATATGAGATTAACCTAAACCGATTGAGAAGCGATCAAAATGGATTTTTCCCTTTTGAAATGAGATCAACATAACTTTTTCTGCTTGTAAATAAGATGAATTTTAATTAATTTAAACTTGATGCAATTCTTCTTCATTTCATCTGAAACTTTTTCATATTAGAACCGATCTTAAATCATTTCTGTCAGTGTGAGTAATTTTGGCAAGCAAGCCATGATTCGTCTAATCTCGTAAAAATAGCTCATCAGCTGCTGTAAGGTCTTTTTCAAATCATGAATTATAAACTCAAAAACCTCAACACGTCCACGTTCTTATTTTCAAAAATAGAAAAAGAGTTGGAATTTTGATTCGTTTTTCGGAAAACGAAGAAGAATGAAAAAAACTTTCCAAATTGAATTGACGGTTTGAAAGTCAAGACTAACTCATTGCAGCAAAAATGTTTTCCTTTTTGACTACTATCTCTTCACCACAGATCATTTAAAAAAGAAAGCTATCATGTTTGACGGTGTCTATCAGAGGTTTTACAGCTGTTTCCTCCATGTTCTTTTTCTCTCCTTTTCTGTAGATCCTTTTTTCGCATTTGTTTTTTTTCCATATCCTCAAAGGAATGGTTTTGACTTTCTTTGTAGAATGTTCGTCTACAACATCAATTTTACACCCCTGTTACGCCAATGTTACTTTGTATTGATACTTTCTCACTGATTTCGGATTTACTCAACGATTCCCTCGTTACGGTATCTACTGAAGATTTGCCACCCCTATAGAAAAGCAGTAAAAAAGATCCAGCTTTTTTTTCTTAATTTGAATTTTGCTGCATTCAGATTGATTGAAAAATTGACTAAATTAATCTACTAATGATAAAATAATTTGCTCGTGTTGGAAAAGTACAAGCGACTGATGACTGACTCCGTCATGAGATTTCGTTGAGTTGATTTGGATGCAAATACTTTTTGTTGGTTTTCCTAGTCTCGGATTTTTGTGGGGGCTAGCATGGTTCTAGGTTGGACACTTGCCTCTAATTGTGCATCTAAGTTTTTTAATCATATTATAGCGCTATGACTGCCGAAATCTTTCTTGGAGTATAATGAAACAAGCCACAAACTCGAGTAGATTGTTGGAAACTGCTTCGAGACTAGTTCTAAGTTTTTTCTCTCCTGGGCCAATTAAAAAGCGGGTTAAAGCGAATGGACGCGTTGAGTCGTTTCACACTGTTCAACCTAATTCTGAATGGCTCGGAAAATGATGTTGGGATATTCAATTAAGTCATTCATGCGGCGCTTTTCAGGGTTGAAGTGTGCTTTGACATAAAGGTTGTTAGGGCTCATTTTATGAGAAAAAGCAATTTGGTTTTGAGAGAAGAAAAAATGATCCAAGTAAAGCCTTGATGAATTCTATAAGAACAATTAAATTCAGGAAGCTTAATTCTTTCTGAACTATTTCAGTGAACTTGATTCTGTTTACAGAGAGCGTGATATAAAAATGTTTTCTCTGTATAACTTGAAAAATGTGGACAGTAATGGCTGCGAAAAACACTTAACTGTTAGAACAGAAATGATTTTCAGCCAAAAGAAACATTTGGACAAAACTGGGTTCCAACTTTTTGAAGAAATGAATTTTTTTCTCATGAGCCGAATGAATTTGATTTTCACAAAAAAATTCTCTGGGCCTTATTAAGAATAGCAACAAGCCACATAGGTATTCATTTCAAATTTCTTCGGAATAACTTTTCTTTCCCGAAAGTTTGAGATTTTTTCAAGGCCGTTTTTTTGCGTCTAGAACTTTTACGTGATACCACTATTGCAGCCAAATTTGGCCAGGTTGTGGTAGACCTGAAGCTGGAGGTCAAGTGAGAGCTTGTTCTAACACACTATCATTGCCATGGCATGGGATCGAATACACGATATGACGATTTCAAAGTGAACGCCTTACCACTGTGCTAAGTGCCTCCTCTTATCGCGAATATCGAGAACAAATAGAAGGACTTAAGTAATACAAAAAACGTACCATTGAAAAAGCCATATAAGTAAAACTGTAGCCCATAAACTCCCCGTTTCATAGTTTCAACACATAGGCCTACTTGTTGGTTAAGTAATTGAAAAATTATGTTGACCTTTAAATTTATTTTCAAATTTCAAAAAATAATTTGGTAAATTATTTCTCAATCAGAAAAATAGCGATTTCATTATAAGCTGCAAAGATAAGACTACAGTTGCAGCAAACTTCTATATCATTGTCTTTTATTGTTTTATTCGTAGACTTTGTGAAATATAGTCTGCAAAACGAAAAATTCGGACTACCTTTTATTCGAAACACAATTTTCTTCAATTCAAGCATTAACAGGGCTTTATTATAGTTTTACACTTCAACACCTCTAGCTTCATTTCAAATAGTCAAAAACAAATGGAAAACACAGACCCCAGCAAATAGTTCTTTCTGACTTTGTAAGTGGTAGGAACAATAATCGTATAAGATATTATGAAAAGTTTTTGGTTACGGTAGATTCGAAGAAAATGTACCATGATCCAAAACTTGCTTCGCAAGTGGAATCGTCCCTGTTACAAACAAACTTTAAATAAGTAATGGTAACATGAAGTTGATATTCTCTTCCAAATTTGCTCTAATTCATTGGCTTGACCAAACTTAAAACCATAACCTTTAGCTTGTTATCAATAGATACTGTGAGGCTACTTAATACTGGAATCCATATCGCTGATTCCGCATTAAAACAGCCTTGTTACGGAGTCCGTGAAAATGCTTCATCAAGTCCTTTCGCGAAATCCACAAGTCAAGTCACCGCCAAAAGAAACGATTGACCTCGTTTAATTGCTGCTAAGTATTGGAGGCAAAATGAAATATTTGGAAGGATTTTTAATTTTAAAAAATCCTATTCAAACGCTACATGAAACTATTCTTTGAATTCAAGGCTGGTATATTGATAACACAACGTTGTTAGCGGGGGTCAAAGTAACAAGTTTCTAAATGAAACTTCAAATCAAAGTCGAGATAAATCGGATTAATTGATTTGATTTAACCAAGACTGCCCAAATTTGAAACCATTTTCTTTAAAAAAGATAGAAATTTTGCACTTTGATTTTACAAAAAGACTTGTAGATTTGAGCATGACTTCAATTTTTGCATTTAGGTTCATCAAAAGCGCTTATTTCTGCTGCCTAAAACAAATTCTGCTACCTACTGCTCTATAAGCTATATTCTACTAATTCTGTTATTGAGCCTGAATTCGACTAAATTGAGCTTAGCTATGAAATGAATAAATTGAGACATCATATAGCATGATGGGTAGTTTAATTAAGAACCATGCAAAAGTACTCACCGCATGTCTATCGACGCGTATACTTACACAATTCGCGTTAATGGCTGCTGCATCTTATAACTGTTTCAAAAAAATCTTTGAACAATTTGCCGCTTGGGATTCAAAAATAAGTTCTTCGATACATCATCTTTCAACTAACAAAAAGTTACTAAATACTAAAAGCTTATGCGTCTCAATTAAGTTCATTTTGAATTGTTTCAATGTTTTTCGATGTTTCCGATTTAGTCAATTATCTGGCGTCGTTTCATCTTCAACTCAACTTAGATTTGCTCCTCTTCTCGCTCTTGTTGAAATGCATTCGTAACTTCACTATTGAAAGCTGATACATTTTTCAAGCACTGAGTTACGAAAGGAATTGCTTGGCAAAAGATCTGGCTTAATTTTTAGAATGGATCTCAAGTTGCGTATCGATATTGGTTGTTTCGGAACACTGGCATCTGACGAAATTTCGCTGGCAAATTCCCGTTCATTGCTTCTCATTTCCTTCAAAAGGTGTAACTGATTTGTCGACCCTTTGTTGAGAATTGAATCATTGGACAACGAAGAAAGAAACTAAAACAACAACTGAGTAAAACATCAAGTTAAATTCAACTTCAAATCTTGCAGAGCATGCCAAATTTACCGGATTTTCCATCTTCGCCGATTGATTAATATCCAAGAGCGCCTTGATGAATCTTCGTAACAAATCAAGGGATGCTCTAAAACAACAAAAAATTTACTTGGTGTTTTTGATGCTTTATGTCGAAGAATTCAAACACAAATCAGTATAAAACATGAACATGTGCAATTTGCTCAAGAAACGTATATTTTATGTATAACTAACTCAGAAGAGAACTATAAACAATCGGTGATGGACACACGAGGGTTACATAGCATTATTTAGACAACCGCGTATTCAGACTCGTCAGTATTTAGACAAATACTGTTTCAACCAATCAGAATCGAGACAAAGAAAAAATTAATAAATAATTATTTATTTTGGATTATTTATGTCTTTTCTCGATTCTGATTGGTTCATACAGTATTTGTCTAAATACTGACGAGTAAGAATACGCGGTTGTCTAAATACAGGCTGAACTCCACACACGAGAAACCGCATGTTCGAGCAAAAACAAATTGGTTTTGAATGCAATAGTGATTGAACAAACAATTTTTGGCGGAGAAAATGAAAAAGTCCAATGAAAAAGAAAAGATATCTGAAGAATATCCTACACATTTTGAAGAATAAAAACCAGCGAAAGTAAAAAAAAAATGACTACGCAAATCAGCTATTGTAATTGTAATTGATCAATATATTGCGTGGTATATGGTATCATTTGACTCGAGGAGCATGTTTTTTTTCAAATGGTTAACTTTCAAATTGTCGTTTTGGCCGTTCCGAACCATCACTCAAGTATACTAATTCAAGGGCTTTCGAAAAATATTTGAAGTTAAAAAAAAAGAGAAAACTAATTGTACAACTGCTACAGGCGAAAAAATTCCTTATATTTATTGAAAAACCTTGTTTGTATCAATCATAATCGTAATCAATCATAATGATGAATAACCCTACAAAACCATTATTTTCTAATTTATTTTTCAAAAACATATATTTACACAGGCGAAGTTGCACTTCGCATACACAAGCAAAAATATGACCGATAACGCTACTGGGAAAACTGAATGAGTAAACTTTGAGTCTTCAAGCTAATTATGACGCATTAGCAGTACCAGTCAATTTGAAAGAACAGAAATTTACCAACTAACATGCCTCAATTTACAGAGTGGACGCATTTTAGCTAGTATACGCAAAGGTTCATTAAAAACATCCGACCCTGCTCAGGTTCGAACCCTCTTATTTTGTTATGGGTCCCCTTCCCTACCTCTACGCTACTGATCCATGATACCTTGAAGCTAAATTCTATTTATAATATAATAGTCTGTTGATAATATCCTTAGCTTTGGCTGTACTTAATAGCTGGTTATTGATCAAAATGAACACTTTCAAAATGAAAAAATTTTGTTGCAACAATATTTGCGTCGCAACAATACTTGCGACTTAGGTTGGAAAAAATCATTCTATCACACATGCTTTGTTTGCGTAATAAAGCGGTAACAAAGCCGACAACTTTAAACAGACACACGTTAAATTTCTATAAATATTTTTTTAGATCCAAGTTTTTTAGAAATAAACTCCTATCTCGAAGACAAAAAGATTTGAGCAAAAATGTTTGGAGGCCCGATTTACAATTCCCGAGTGTGCCCTGATAATCACACCACAAGAGAGTCGAAAATTTCAATTTTGCAAATAAACGCTGAAACGAAAAGCTCTAAAAGTTTGCATTGCGTTCAAATATCCACGTTAAAATAATACATGACCTTGGAAACTGAAAACGTTGAATTCAATAAAACAAACTATAAGTGGCCAAATATTGGCGTTTTACTTAAAAAGTCAACATAGGGACTTCTTAAAAATGGGTCAAGTGAAACGCCAATTAAATAATGTATAGATAGATGAAACATTCTTCTCTTATCTTTATCGTGCCTAATTTAGATTCGAAACATCATACCTGAAAACCGAGCTTATTTAATCTCACATTCAGATATTGCAAGAAACACTTCAAATTGGACTTACACAAAGTATCACTCTATCAATTTACTACAAAGGTAAAATTTACTTGAGTATGATGACCACGCAATCATGTGTCACTGTATCCAGACCGTGTTCCCATAAACTTATATATACTCGACCAACAATTCCTTCAGTTTGTTTAACGGCTGGATCGATGTCTATTTTAGGGTTTTTGATCTCATTTTTATCACTGAAGACTTGGATCCTATCAATTTCTTCTTGTCGCCAACTTAATTTATTCTCGATTAAATTGGGAGAGACCATTTGATTTAGTTCAGCGGCTGATTCCAATGTTTCTAATTTTCGTTTTCTGTCTTTAATCTTTGGTGTCGCATCCTGAAGTTTAGCTTCATCTGATTTTAACTGTGGTGGACATGTCAACTTTCCTACCACAGTCTTGCAAACTCGACGGCAAAAACAAATGAGCTTCAAAACGAATAAGTTGTGCAAATGAATGGATTGCGGGGTAAGAATTGTTCGTACATTTTCATCAAGCTGCAGTTTTGATAGCCTGCCACAAAACCATTCGCGCATTAAAGAAAGATATTCGGCTTCAAATTCACCTAACTGAGCACTTAATGTTGATCTAACTGACTTGAGCTCTTCAAGATCTTTTAAGCTTTCGGTCATTGTAGCATCTATCTGAAATACGCCCCATTAATAGACTGGACAAACGTTTGGAGACTCGGCCGAAGCATCTCGCAACGCAAAAACTGAGCCAATTATGCATTTACGAACGCATAATGAAAAAATTCAAAATAGAGGCGACGCGTAGCTTCGCAACTCTTGCGGTATTACACTAACATATCATTGCGATCTCACAGACTGAAAAATAACAGAAGAAAATAGAAGTATTTGTATTAGTATAGTATTTAGGATTTATCCCATGGGTTTGCATCAAAATATAGTTTAATGAGTTCTAAGTTTTTCTATTTGGGTAAGTTTCCACATTGCCACATTATGTGCCATGCGCAGCTGTCCATTTTTGAATATTCTGCAGATTTTCTTATCTCCGATAACTGTTTTGGTGTACTTCGAATAATGATATTGAATAGTGCTGGGCATCTAACGAAGAAGTCAGCCTTGGTCTTCCTTTAAGCGAATTTTTGGCGAAATTATTTTCTATAATTCTGTCTGGTTAAACTTTGGATGCATGTGGCATATTGGTTGATGTCAATTTCATAATTATTTCAAATAATGGATATGAAAAGTAGGTCGTGCAATTCGATGTATGATGGTCGTTTTTGAAATTGACCAGAGTGCATTTTCCAGCATTGAGAAGCATTAAGTTATTATTACACCAATAATCGATTGACGTAGTAGCATTGTCTAATTCCCTTTTGCTTGCAGCAATAAACCTGAAGTCGTCAGCATATCCGAAAGAAATCTTTGATGTATATCATGAATAAAAGTAATCCCAATAGAGAACCCTGATGGACACCACTTGTAACATATTCTAACATAACACATTGTAGATTTTGCTTTGTTAACTCGAACATTCTGTTTTCGTAGAGTTAAAATTGAATCAATGAGTTCAATTAGTTTACTACCAAAAACAAATTTATTGAATTTTTTTTTTCAGTAGTAGTTAATTTGGGACGCAATCGGAAACTTTTTCGAAGTTCAGATAAAGCTCAGTTATGTTTTGGGTGGCTTTGATCGTCCCAGCCTAAGTGATGTTAGTATGCAAGAAATTCCGAAACATTTTTTACCGGAAATCATATTGAGAACTATGAAGATGTCGAATTCTTTCGATCTCTTTTCGAAGTCGATGTTACTGAAATCTTATTTGTCCCCATCTTTGAAGATTGGAACAACTTCCCTTAATTTCCAGTCTTCAGGGAAGATTCTTTTGTATATTAAGGTTTGAAAAATTAGTATGACCGATTTTGAGTGCTTTTGCTAGATTTTTGTTTAGAAGATTTCCCAAATTATTTGGCCCTGTTGATTTATTGATATCTAGCTCATTCATATTTTTTCGGGGTAACCTTCGTATAACTCGATGCAAATAAAATTGCCCTTTTCAAAATGACCACCTTCGTTTTTTTTCTGTTTTTGTGAACACGCTACTGGTTTTTGTGACTGTTTTTGTGAACACGAATTGATTAAAAGCATCGCATTTCTTTTCATCGGTTTCTATTAGTTGTCTGTCGCGGTTCTTTCCTCATGGAAGCTTTGGCGCTCCTCTAATGCTTCGTAGATACTTCTGTGTTGTGCTTAACTTAGGTGGTGCAAAAACTTCAAGCTCATAGCTTTTTAGATCTTTATCAGCAGTATCTTTTTATTAATTGTTCTAATTTTAAAATTTTTGAGACACTGTGGTTTTGAAAATGATGGAATTTTTTTTCCAAGTTAGTGCATTCATGGTCATGTGCATTATTTCGCCAAATGAGATACATTCATATAGTGTATCGCTTTTGGTTTTGTTTTTTCGGCATGTTTTGCAAATATCCATGTTTGAACTCAATTGTTTGGAATGTCTAAGTGTTGTGAGTACTATCAATAGAAAAGAAGAATAGAGGTCACCTACAGCCGCGGAGCCCGTAAAGAGTTCCGAGAGCTAAAAATTACTTAGATTGAAAAATAAGCAGGTCTAACCGTGGAAGCTGTATTGAGTTCCAAGAGCTATGAACTTACGTAGAGAGGCATGCATGTTCAATAATTACACTACTGATTACAAGGAAAAAATTCTGGGTATTTGTCTTGCGATGCTTTCAGTGATCACTTTTTTCGCAAAAAGTTGATTCTCAAGGTGGTTCGAAGACCGCGCAGGGATTTTTGGGTTAGATGAACGTTTTCGTTTCCGATATCTCTATTGCAGCATATCTTTTGTTTGATGCTTCTGTAAACCCAGGCGCTTCCTATAGCTTCACGCTGAATGACTTTTTCAACCTCAATATTGCTATCAGTTATTTTTTTGTTCAGTTGAGTGACTCATGGGGGATGCACAGTACGCAAACCCTATCGCAGAGATCAGATAGTTAAGGTGCAAAAATTGCTAGTTCTTTCTTAATGTCCTCTTAATTGCGTGCAGATGATACCGTTTCGTTGAAGGCGTCGTTTCCGCCAATAAATAAACAGATTGTCGGACTGACCTTTCGCCGGTAAATGATTTAATACGTGGAAGATCCTACCACCAGAAAGAGACAAGATGTTGAAGTTGGGAAACACTGGTCTCCTTGCTTGTGAGTCGGCAATCAGCAGGTATTTTTGTGATGATGTTTTGAAGATATGTGCTTTTATAACATTTATGTTCTTGGCTCTATAAATTCCCCACTATTATCGCTTTTTGTTTCAATTAGAAATTGGCTTAAGTTTTTCTCTGTTGTGTGTGCAAATTAATCACTGAGATTTTGGTCATTGATTGAATACATTTTATTTTCTGAAGGTATTTATGACCAGGGAGGGGTTGTTAATGAGAAGGACCTTCAGACTTTTGCATTTTTCAGGTGATAAGATTTGTTCAAAACTGTTATCAATTAGGCTTACAAAAATTAATTGTTCATCCGCATCTTCTGTCGTCATTGCTTTCCAGTCAGTTTTCTAGCAATTTATATCTCCAGTGATCATAACATTTTCACATTTCAAGTCTCTTGCAGTGTTAATAGGTTTACTCATAAGTTTTACAATTAATTGGTCTATGTGGGTTTCTTTTAGCGGGCAATAAAGTATTTTTGAAATCTATTATTCTCATTGAAACTTGTTCAACAATTGAGTTTATGCGTACAGCCTAAAGTTTAAAGCAGTTTCTGATGGCAATTGAAAGACGGCCATGTTTCGTCTGGTAATTTTTAGATGGTCGATTACATATGTAGATTTCATAACCTGGTAGAAAAAGAGTTTCTGATTTTGTTTTGGCTTTTAGCCATGTTTCGGTTAGGCACGAGATAACTTTTTTGCGAGATTGGTTGCATTTGCGAGACAAATTCGTTGTGACATTTCGATTAAATTTCGTACATTAAACGTTAGTATTGTGGATAAAAGTCTTTCGTTTAGTCAGACTGAATGGTCTTCGCATTTAATCTCAACCAAGTCGTTTTCATTTTTTCTTATTAATTATTAAATTAAAATCACTTCTAATCACTTCGATTCTTTCGAATGCAGATCATTCGAACCGTCGCACACATGAGGAAAAACGAAGAGGGGAAAACAAGATTATATCACCATTGTCTCAAGGCACGGAAGCAACTCATCGTGTTTTTAAACGTCATTTGGATAGATAAAATTGTCCTATCTATCTGTGGCTCAGGGACATCGAACTAGAAGTTACCATTTGCACTGCCAAGATTTCATCTACTCTTGTATAACTTGGGTGAATAACCCCGAAAAAGGTATCGAGAAATAATAAAGACACGGTTAGTGTTGAAATTCATAGGCGTTTATTGATGTGGGGAATTCCCTCTAGATATTTCGAGCTTGATCACTGCTTTATGGATCCATTGCCAGCCTGCCTCACTAAACATAGCCAGTAAAAAAATGAAGTAGAGCTAAATTATTCTCAAGGCATAATAACAACGATGGGGGCTGACCACGGGAGTTTCAAGTCCACACGGGAGTATTAAAGATATGTGGTCTAGCTACCGAGAATTGCATTATTCTCTCAGTTTACACAGCAACTGAAACTAAAAAATACCGGTTTGACGCCTCGCTGACGCCAGATCGTTATTTCCGTGATGATTTTTATTCCGTCTCGGTCTATCTAAACTAAAATTTGGTTTGTACATTATTAGATTTATTATTAATAACTAGTTCCAGGAAACTGGCCGGGCCTACCCCTGAGTAGTAAAGGTCGATTTTTAATGGTTCATATCATAGCTGCACGAGCATTGTTTTATTCCCTCAAAATCTTGTCGAAGACACAAAGATATTCGAAATTAATAACAGCTATCCCAGGACTCGATATGAAACCCCGCGCTAAGAAACAAATTCAACATCTTCTGAAAACATCTGAGAAACGACAGGGAAGTCATCTTGTGGCACGACGTGATTAACAATACCATTACACCCCACAGAGCAACACCCCTAAGGAAACAACTATTGATACATTTGATTCAATCCATATTAACTCCAAGTTCTGTGCAGATTCCTTCCAACTTTGATTCATTCTAGAATCGAATCAAAGCGATCATCTATTGCCAGAGAATTGGTTTGGACACCCTATGAACAGAACTGAAAGACGCAAAAACTCGTTATCAAATCGCTTCTTTCAGAAAGGAAAAAAAACGACAAGGAGTACACCAGACGATTCCAAGATCTCCTCCCAGATCCGAGTTTGGAGATCAGGTCTTTATTCATCACCTTAAAAAATCTAGCATATCTACAACAGTTCCCGAGAAGAGGCTTCCGATTGAATATCAAAATGATACTATCAAAATGAGTGATTTTTTCTTCTCAAATTGTTGACTCGTAAATTGAAGTGATTGTGAAAGGATCAAATTCTAGTTATAACACCTTCAATCTCTGAGTTACCATGACTTGCAAACCCTGCAATAAGATTATTGCCTCAAATGCGCCCACATACCACAGCATTTCCTGTAAAAAGAACATGCACCTAACGGTCAAATGCGCTGGGTTGTCCAAATATGTAATCATGGAAATAAATTAATGGGCAGCAAAACTCTACTCATGTGCAATGACTGTACGGACAATGGCAAACGCGAGGGTGTCATCAATGCAATATCTAATGATCATAACAATGAGCAAATGGAAAACCAGCGAGTTCGGAATGAAAAAAAAAACTTGAGATGGCCATTAATGCTAGCAACCAACCTGCCTTGGAAAAGATAAAAGGAGAGATCGAGGAGATTGTAAACAACATAGTGAGAAAGAAACTGGAACCAAAACTAGCATTGCAAACTATGGTACTACAACAACGACAAAAACAAGCTTATAATCACAATGCAACAGCAAGCTTCCGTGTTCATGGTCTCCCAGCAAACATCAAGGAAAACGAAAAAAGAAAAAAAACTACTAGCAAATGAAATTCTAAGCGAATCACTAAAAAAAATTTAAGTTTCAGGCAAAATTGAATGCGTAAAAATTCTCGGAAAACTTGATAAGGAACGGAAAAAACCTAGAAATGTCCTAGTTAAAATGGAGAACAATTGGGATGCAAGAATGATCCTTGCGAAGTGTCCTGAAAAACGTATATACTACCGGCTTTAACGAAACAATAGTCACAAAATGAAAAAACATGCTTGAAAAAACAGAATTAAACAAAAATGGTGTGCAGTTCAAAAGTCTGGAAATGAAAAACCTTGAGTAATATCATGATGTGATGGTCGATGATGTGAAGGTCGACTTAGAAGACAGGTTTTCGTAGTGACTATCCTCATTAAACTGCTTATTATTCATTACATAAAACCTATTCAACTGTGATGGAAAGCAAAACTTT